AACGTTTTCATCACCTTGAAAGTAACCCCATACCCTTTAGCTATACCCTCCATTTTCTTCCCAGACTCCCCCGCCCCAGCCCTAGGCAACCACTAATCTACTTTTTATCTCTACAGATGTGCCTATTCTGGACATTTCACATAAATGGGATCATATAACACATGGTCTTTTGTGTCTGACTTCTTTCACCTAGCAAAATGTTTTCAAGATTCTTCTATGTGGTACTATGTATCAGTTCATTCCTTTTTATTGCCCAATAACATTCCATTGGATGTAACACCATCCAAACGTGGTACACAGACACCACCACACGTCTATCCACTCATCAGTTGATGGACATTTGTGTTGTTTCCACTCTTTGGCTTTTATGTATTGGGCTGTCAGAAAAGTCATGATGCATTTTTTGCAACGAAAAACAGAAAAAATACGTCATGACTTTTCCGACCACCCAATATAATGCTGTTATGAACATTTATGTACACGTTTTTCTGTGAACATGTATTTTAATGTTTCTTGTGTAGATACCTGAGTTGGAATGACTGGGTTGTATAATAACTCTGTTTAACTGCTTAAGGAACTGCTAAACTCATTTCCAAAGGGGCTGCACCATTTAACATCCATACCAGCAGTACATCCTTGTCAACACTTGTTATTATCTGGACTTTTGATTTAGCCATCCTAGTGGGGTGTAAAGTGACTTGAGTCAATTTTAACTTCCATGTCCCTAACGACTAATGATGTCTAGCATCTTTTTATGTGTTTAGTGGCCATTTGCATATCTTCTTTGGTGAAATGTCTTTCCAGATCCTTTACCCATTTTTTTAATTGGGTTGTCTTTTTATTATTAAGTCGTAAGAGTTCTTAGATGATTTGCAAATATTTTCTCCCATTCTGTGGGTTGTCTATTCATTTTGAGTGTCCGTGTTGGGAAAATTTTCCGACATATACTGGAACAGAACTCCAAAGGAGGACAAGGCCAAGAGACTGATGTAAGAGGCTGACAACTCCAGAATTAAAGAGTTTATTAAGGGAGTTTACAGACAGAAGCAGCCTTAGGCAGCAGCAAGATAGTAGATCTCCACATCTGAAAGGAGATGGGGGCTTGACATATATAGCCTTCAGGAACACAAATGGCTTGTAGCCAAGTGGCACATGCTTGTTAAGAGCTGTATATTCCAAAGCAGTAAACAAATTAACGGGCCTACTTATCTATGTAAAAACATTCCTTTTAGGTGATATAGGCACAATTTTCTCCATGAAAATGCTAAACTCATAAGGACAGGTGTGCCTTCTACTACCAAAGGTGCTTCTTTGATGTTGAAGAATAAGTTTTTTCCAAAAAAAAAAAAAAAGGTATTAATTCTTTAAATGTTTGGTAGAATTCACTGGTGAAGCCATCTGGGCCTGGGTTTTTCTTTGTAGGTAGTTTTTGATTGCTAATTCAATTTTGTTATAAATCTATTCAGATGGTCTATTTCTTCAAGTCAATTTCAGTAGTTTGTTTTTCTAGGAACTTGTCCATTTCATCTAAGTCATCTAATGTATAGGCATACATTTGTTCATAGTACTCCTTTATCATCCTTTTCTTTCTGTAAGTTCTCTAGTAATGTCTCCTCTTTTGTTTCTGACTCTTTTTTTCTTGGTTAATCTAGTGAAATGTTGTCACTGTTGTTGATCATTTCAAAAAACTAGTTTTTGGTTCCATTGATTTTCTTTATTGTTTTTCTATTCCCTATTTCATTTCTGCTCTATTTATTCTTTCCTTCAGCTTGCTTTAGTGTTTAGATTGTTCTTTTAAAAAATTTTTAGTGTCTTTAAGTTGGAAGGTTGGTTTATTGATTTGAGATTTTTCTTCCTTTTTAATGTCTTTACAGCTATAAACTTTTCTCTAAACACTGCTTTAGCTGCATCCCATAAGTTTTTATGTTGTATATTCATTTTCATTCATTTCAAAGTATTTTCTAATTTCCCTTTTGATTACTTCTTTGACCCATTAGTTATTTTGGCGTGTATTGTTTTATTTCCATGTATTTCCAGGGCTTGTTATTGTTATTTACTTTTTCAGTGAGTGGCTGGATTATTTTAGTGAGTTTACCTATTCCCTACCACTCACCCCACATTGTGTGAAGCCTGTTACTGTTCTTCAGGGGGATGCCGACTTTAGTCTATCCATAGTCACCCTAGCATGACAGTGATTTTTCACAAGCCTGTCTCTTTCCCTGAATACACAGATGTTAAACTACACTAATTATTGGCTGATTGCTTTTTTTTTTTTTCAACAATGCCCTGGGAAATAAATTGCTCTGCAAACTGATCCAATCAAATTCAGGTTTCTTTGAAGGGATAGTTTCAAGGTGAGATTTATTCTGACCGGGAGAGAGCTCCTTCCAGCTGTCTCTTTTCCCATTTCTCTCTAGCCAACTAGCCAGACCAGTATAGCCCATATCTCCAATAAAGCTCTCATTCTCCTGCCAACTGCTTTTCACTATAATCTCCACTGTTTTCGAGAGCACCCTGAAGGTTGAACTTCTCTTCCAAATGCAGTCAGTTCCTTTGAGGAGATATTCGAAGCTCTCTGTTCTAGAGCCTGCCTCGCTCCTNACTGGAAAAATCAAATGGAAAACAAACAGCTACACTGTCAGAATCATACAAATATACATGCCTGCCTGAGTTTTCCCAAATCAATGGTCCTGCAAAAAAAAAAAAAAAAAAAAAACAGAACAGAGAGGAAAAGATGGAAGCAGGGGAAAATACTGCAGAGCAATTACCAGCACCCGCAAACCCTGCTCCAAGCACCTTCCCCTGGACCTGGGCTGACGGATCCTTTGCTGGTTTTGATGTGGGGGTCTGTGACCACCAGCGGTAGCATCATCACTGAATAGCTTCTGAGAATTGCAAATTTTCAGGCCTCAACTCAGACCTATGGAATCAGAGCCTGCATTTTAACAAGATACCCAGGGGGTTTGTGAATTTGAACTGGATTAAATCACACTGGGAGGCCACAGAGATCTCGCCATCACACAGTAGTTAACAATAATTGCCAGCAAAATGCAGTTATCTGACTCTAGTGGAAGGCAGAAGTGTTACTGCAATGGCAGAGAGAGACCTCCTGCTTCCCCTGTCAAACCTCCTGTGACTGCCAGCAACCGTGTTGGCCAAGTGATTAACACAAAGCCATTTAAAAGAGACTCAAGAGACTAAGGGAGCTCTGAATTAGGGCATTTAAAACATGGGGTGGGGGTGTTAAGAGAAGAAATCAACGTTAAATTTAAACTCAAAGATGTGACAGATGACATCTGAGTAACCAGATGCTAGAGGAAGTTCCCTTCATCAGCATCCCCTTTGGCGGGTTGAGGGGCCCCCTGGGCGCCTGACTTCGCATCACACATCAGGGAACATTAGAGACAATGGGACAGAGCCATGGAGTTCCGACTGTCACCAAAGCTTTACTTCTCATGAGTTATGTTACCGTTTGCTTTGCGCTGTTCCCTTTACAAAATGCACTGGCTGCACCCAAAGCCCAATTTACTCAACTATTTAAAGACATAATTTTCCACATAAAAAGTACGTGGCTGTCCATCTATTCAAAAGCTTCCTGTAACTTTGGACGCATTTTGTTCGAGGCAGGAAGCACAAGGGACAGGGCCGGGAAGCTCCCGAGGCATCTGGTTTGGAGGGACTGCTCTCACGGCAGCTGGCGGCGGGTCCCTCACCCTGTTGAACTGGGACCAGGACACGGACATGCTGTTGTAGTCCTCGAGATGGCTGCTGCTGCTGTTGAACAGTTTCTGCGCCAGGAACACCAGGTTCTCCTTGGTCAGGCCCCGGTTGCTCTGCACTTCGGCCTTGAATTTCATATTGAGNCTCAAGAGTTTGAGCTCTGAGCAACAGCGGTTCGAGTCAGCCCGAGCTGAGCAGCCGTGAGCTGCCAACAGGTGGCGGGATGGCTCAGCTAAAAAAAAATTAAAAAAAAAATGCTAAAATTCCTTTATAATACAAAAAACAAGTACTTAAATGTAAACAAATAAAAATTTCAGCCAAAAACGTGGGTGCAAGGGCCGGCTGAGTGGCTCAGTTGGTGCGAGCTCTGAGCAACAGCGGTTCAATGCCCGGCTTGAGCTAAGCTGCCAACAGGTGGCAGGATGGCTCAGCTAAAAAAAAACACACACACACACACAAAAGTGGGTGCACATTATACACAAGGGTGCATTATACATGGCAAAATACAGTAAATTGTAAATGTCTTAAATAATGGACATGGACTGTATCATGGAATCACCATACAATGGAATTCTATGCAATTATTAAAATGACGTTGTAAGATTTTATTTACCGACCTGTAACTCTGCCTATGACACATTTTTCAGTGGAAAAAAAAATCAGATCACAACAGCTGATGTATGGCATGACCCAAACCTTATACCTTGGACTCCAAGCCTGACAATGATCTGCCCTTATTTCCTGCCATTTTCTTCCCTGCGCATCCAGCTCTAGCCTCCAGGGCCCTTGTGAGGGTTTTCGAACAGGGCAAGCTCACTCCCACCTCAGGGGATGCACTTGTTCTCTCAGCCTAGATTGTTCTCTCTCTGCATCTTGAGATAGAGCTTCTTCACTTTGTTCAGGTCAATTCTGATGTCACCTCCTCAGGGAAGGTGTCTAGTGAGACACTCCCTCCATTTTCCACTCTGGTCACTTCTCTATCCCTTTGACCTTGCTTATTTGTCTTCATAGCATCCATCACTACATAAATATATTGTTCTTTACTTGTTTATTGTATTCCTTCTGCTATTAGATTGTAACCTCCATACAGGAAGTACTTAATAAGCATATGGTGACTGACTGAATGAATGAACGAATGAATGAGGAATATATATCTATATAGATGGGGAAAATATTCACTAAATTATTTACAGTGATTAATCTCTAAACGAGAGATGTTGTGTGATATATACCTTCTTTTCTATACTTTTCTGGAAAGTTTACAATAAATTCATAATACTTTTATGCTCAGAAAACAATAAAACCATCTGTTTTGAAAAACAAAATTTTACCTAATTTTGCTTGATCTAAGCTTATGTTAAAAGCAATCTGTTAAAAAAAAACAAAACAAAACAATCTGTTTACTTCAATTTGATAGTTGTGGTCAGTGGCAGATATGTTTTCTGTGTGACTGAAGAATATAGCCCAGGATTTACATCTGCCCTGGATAATGCTCAAAGCACGGTAAATTAATGCTAATTGTGCAGAATTTCATGCAAGACAGGCACAGATGGAAACACACACACACACACACACACACACACACACACAACTAAAACAAAACCAAAATCACAACAAAACCAAATCAGAATGCGAACATTGTTACCAGTGGCAGGCTCGCATGGAACTGGTGTGTAATACTTTGAGTACACTTCATCTTTTGGCCGATCAGGGAACACGTAGATAAGGTAATTCAGGTCCCCCAGCCGGTCGGCCAGGGACCGGATAGAGAAGTCTCTGGTGGTAAACGGCATCAGGTTCCAAAACATTCTTTCCTCTAGATCAATAAACAGAATAATCATATTCTAAACATGACTTCTGAACAGGAGACCTTAATACCCAAATAAACTACAATTAAAGCTCTCCATTAAAATTGTACCAATAAAAATCTCCACTTAAAAATAACCACAGGTTGGGCCAGCCGAGTGGCACGTTGGTTAAGAGCTGGCTTGGGACGCCAGAGGGCCCTGGTTTGGATCCCACATATGAGGGCTAGTGACACTGCCCTCTACAGCTAAGATNTATAATCTCCACTGTTTTTGAGAGCACCCTGAAGGTTGAACTTCTCTTCCAAATGCAGTCAGTTCCTTTGAGGAGATATTCGAAGCTCTCTGTTCTAGAGCCTGCCTCGCTCCTGTGGGGCAAAATCTGAGCCATAGCTCTGGTCTCTGGTGCTGGGGGTGGGGTTGATGGCACACTTCTGAGTGATGTGCCCACTTCAAAAGGTGAACGCCTTTTCCTTTCTTAACTCCTATTGGTTCCTTAAGAAGCAGCTCAAGCTGTTTGGTGCTCTTCCTCTATGTTCTTGGGAATACGTTTATTAATAGCAGCATGAACCAATATCCTAACTGATTATGTTAGTTACCTTTCCCCGACTGCAATCTGCTTGAGGGCAGAAACAATTTCTCATCCCATCCACAATGCCTGGCTCAGGGAAGGCACTCTAAATGTGCTGAATTTTAAAGATGAGCTTCCTAACAGGAAGGGTGTAGAGATGGGAGGCTAAGAGATAAAGGCTATCTATCATTTTAATTTTCAAAACATCAGATGAGCAGGAAGATGAGAAATGCCTCCATCTGCCATCAAAGCTGACGACTCTCTCTGAGGCAGCCAACTCCCAATTAGTTCCCTATTCCAGGGTCACACTGATGATTTCAAACTTTTCTCTATCAAACCGCCCTCCCTCGCCACCGGATAGGAAAAAAAAAACAAAAACAGGACTCAATACTGTCCCTTCAGAGGAAGCCTTTATTGTAACATAAAATACACAATTTTGTGATTGCCCCAAGTAAAATTGTACACAATTCCTTTTTTGGTGGCTATAATAGACTACTCTGCCTCAACACTAAAATATGTATCTGAAATAATTTCACAAAGTTTTAAAAAGAAAAATTATAAAAAGTATACTTCCATTTTAAGTTATATTCACTTTGTCTCCCCCCCACCCCCTACAAAGCCCTGCACATGGCACACATCGAGTTGGACCACTTTGATGATTTCTGTGTGTGTGTCTGGGAGTGACCAGGAGGCTGAGGCGGTCAAGACTTCCCACTGCCTCTTCTGGTTTGCAGGAATAGGGAGAAGAGAGACAGTATACTGCAGATAATGAGCACACCTTTCAGTCAAAAATCTCTCCCATCCATAGGTACAGCCTCAGGAACATTGAGGACAGCTCAGCAACTGTACAAGAATGGCAACTCTCCACTCGGCACCCGTCCCCCCAACCCCAGGGCCAACTGTAAAGTGAGAGCTCTGCCCTCAGCATGCCCTAGGGCTGGGTCCACTACCATTCTGAAAGTGTGTCAATGCCTTCCCCTCCCTCCCATCAGGGCTGCTGGGACAACGAGGTTGTCGCTCACAGGCAGGCGTTGGTGAAGCCTGACTGTCGGGGCAGGTGAGGGTTCTTTAAGACTGGGTCCGAGAGCAGTCAGCCTTCCTTCTCACCTTTCCCCAACATGCCCATCCTCACAGGTGGAATTTTAATCTCTTCTTGAGGGTTAAGTAAGGGACTTAGTAATCTCGGCTATCAATGCCGGTATCCACGGAGGGGTCAGTCTGCTCCTCAGAGGCAGAGTCAACTGCCTGGCATAGAAAAATAAATCAGTGTATGGAACCAAGCCAGGGCAAACAGCAGCTTTTAAAAAGTCATCTTCCAATAAATAATTTACTATAGAGGAATATTTTCCTTTAACATCAAAACACTGATAAGTTGAGTTATTTTTGTAAAAAAAATATCTATTTACTCACATGTATAAAAATAAGGTTTTTAGGGCCCTTCTCTCTGGGGTGTGGTCATGTCCTTATTTTTGAGAGAGGGGCCCGGGGTGACCTTGTAGGCTTCACCCAAAAGCCATACCTGCTCCCCACTTTCCCTACCTTCCTGTCATAGCCCGTTCCATCCTTCTGGTGTATAACTACGGAAGAAGCTGTGGACAAAATTATGCTGGGGCTTTTGTTTTGTTTCGCATTTGCAGCTTACCAAAGTTCCAGCAAACCTGCTGACTGCATTTCCCCAAACCACCAATGCCTGACCCCAGCACCCCACCCCAGGTGGGCAACAACACCCACTGACCACCCTGGCCCTGGGTTCAGACCACACTCCTGCTACCCACTCCCCAAGACATTGTATGTGAACAGTGAAGGAAAATGAGGTGACCTGGGTATAAATGGCACAGGACCTGATACAGGAAGAAAGAGTTCTGATGTTAAATTAGGGTAGAAAGGGGGAAAACAAAGTCCCGACTTAGAAACAAAAACACCATTCAACATTTGCAAAAAGCTGTGTCCATAAGCCTTCGGAAAGCTTCACCCTCGGGCCTCCCCCAGCACAGTGGAAGGATGGGCAGGCAGGTCTAGGGCAGCTTCCCCCGGCGACAAAGGCCATGTTCTCAGCGCCTGAGAGTCAGGGACGGGCATTCCACTGTGGCGGCAACACAAAGGACATCAACACTGCAAGCTTCGGTTACGCGGCCCTCTTTTCTTTCCTCTAGTTCATGTCTGTACAAGTGTACACACAGAGGAACTGAGTGGCAGATCCACAGAGTGAGAGAAAGAGAGAGGGAGACGGAAAGGGAGGCGAGGAGGGAGGGAGAGAACGTTAAGATGGGTTAAGCGTATTTAAAAAGCCACTGCCCATCCGAAAACCCCGCACTCCTCTTGCCCCAACCATCCTCGCGTGTTGCCCCTGTGCTCCATCCCGACCCAGGAAAATGGTAGTGAGGGAGAGGGGCGGGAGGACTGGCTTTCTTTGTCAAAAGGCAGTTTTTACACTTCAGAAGCAGAGACAATCATGGCTATATAACAATTGTTTGGCAGACACAGCGACGACGAAGACTCACCGGAGAGGAGCGGAGAGGAGGCGCTCGCTCTCCCTTTGTCCTGCTCTTACTCGAATAGCCACATGCCAAAGCCCAGCCGCCCTCAAGACACATGGGCACATTCCAGGGTTCATGGGACTAACTGCCTTTTTGTACAAGGTTAAAACAACCACAGCCTGTTTGTGGCCCCAGTGCTGTAGCTAAACTCTGGACAGCAAGGGGGAGAAACATCACAACACACACACACACACACACACACACACACACACACACACACACACACACACACACTCCCTTCACTGGTGCCACCATGCATAGAAACACTAAAGTCACGACTAGTAT